CTAGGTAGATGGAGCAGTTGAAGGCAGGCTAGGTAGATGGAGCAGTTGAAGGCAGGCTAGGTAGTTGGGGCAGTTGAAGTCCACACATGTTAAAGTTGCCAAGATTGAGAAACACTGGCATACGGTGTCTCTGCTACAAATCCCATGCCCTTACCCAGCCCTGTGCCCTCCAGATAAAGTGGCCCTCATCTCCCATCATCCCCAGCCAGCTTGGCAATGCTGGGAAAGGCCCACACACCCTGCTACCAGCTCTTGTCGTCATAATTTCACCATATAAAAAAGAAACCATTGCATTAGTGCTTCTGTCTCTCATCTAAGACGGCCAGATTTAACTCCTGCATTCATTCAACAAAGCTTCAGTTCCTTGATCGATGAGCCCAGTTTTAACTGGGAGTTTTAAGATTAGTGGCATTTTTGGATCTGCTGTGTGGGACTACAACTCCCATCACCAGAGCCAAAAAGTTCACTGGCTGGGGATGATTGGACACAGCCTGAAGAATACCAGATTTGGGGAGAAAGCCAGAAAACCTTTTCTGAACAGTCACGTGCATCCGTAGTCTCTTAGGCGGTGTTTCCAAAAGGGTCCTAGCTGGAGTTTTTGATTACGTTTATTCTAATGTTTCAGTAATAAAGAACTTGACAGACAGAGGGCCAAAGTGTTATTAGGGTTTTGGAGTTCTGTTTTGTTTTCTGACCCCCCCCCCCATCACAATGAACTATTTGCAAATAAGCGTTTGTGTTTCGAATGCAGTCCCTTGGCTGCTGCCAGAATGGTTTGGAAATAAAGTGGAGAGTCCAAGACTCCTGAAAGGAGATGCCCGTGGCCCCATCCAGAGCCTTCCGCCCCAAAACAGCCTGCAGACACCGACCTGCAAAGCCCGTCGGTGCGCTGCAGCAAGCCTGGCCCGCCCATTCGTTCATGCCCGCCTATTCGCGCATCGCTCTAGCCCGGTGCTCTCGGAGCAGGACGGATCTGAGCCGCGGGACTGAGATCCCCCGGCCCTCCTCCTCCTCCTCCTCCTCCTCCTCCAGGGCCCCAGACCCTGCAGCCCAGGGCGATCTCCTGGGGGCGGAGGGCGCTGGGCAGCAGGGCGGCCGGGCAGCTCTCCCTGCCCACCCAAGAACAGCACGGAGGCTGAGAGCTTTTCCCCCGAGAAGGGCGAGTGGAAAGACCGCAGCCGCAAGAGAGAGGAGACACCGGCAGCGACGGCCTCTGATCTGCAGCCGCAACCATCATCCTCAGCCAGAGCAAGGGGGGCAGCTCATGTATGGCGCAGGGGGTCGCGGGCCCCCTCTCCGCCGCCCCCCGCCCCATTTCAGGGCAGACAAAAACGCGGTT